CTAGAATACAATGCTTGATGAAAAAGAGTATATTTTATCTCTTTCTTCTTATGTATTCTAGATAACATTACTGCACTACCCCACACAGACAAAAATCAGATCTGTGCCAGAAGATTTTGACTAGCTTTGACAGATTGAGATGAAATTAAATTATCAAGAGAACTTAACATCTACCTAGGTGCCAAGGTTTCTTTAAAGAAAGTGCTGAGCAGATCATTTCAGCGTGCTTTGAACCAACTATCAACATCCGATAAGCTAAGCTCTTTCAAAAATTAGGTACTAAACTACCAGCACAGCTCAGGTGAACTGGGCTTGGGAAAAGGCTGACTAGCATGAAACAAACTAATCAAAGCAAGAGGAAAAATTACACACTTTGAGTGATGCCTTTGACTTGTGCCAAGGTATTTCCTGGGAATGCTCTATACTGTGTATTTCAGTCTCTCCACATAAAATCCATCTTTAACATTCTCCCAAATGCTCAAAGCTGGTTTTGTCCAGTGACACAGCATCCATAACACAGTGAGCTGTAATCTTGCAAAGACTTTGGCATGCACATAAAGCTAAGCACAGCCTCAGAGCCTTTAGTAAGACTTCTCACTATGCGTAAAGTTAAGTACATTCATATGTCTTATCAGGATGGTGGCCAAAGATTATAGAGGCATCCAAGCTGGTTGATATAGTCAAGCCTGTTCTGTGGCACGTCTATTTTAAACTTGGGTCTTCTGGTTTGTATCTTAAAAGGTCTACATGTCTTAACTGATCTGCAGAACAAATTAACTTTGCAAAGTGAAAACAGTTTAGCCTTGATAAATGAATACAAACACAAAAGAGCAGCTCTCTGTGGTTCGCATACATCTGTAGTCACCACATAAAGGCAAGGAATCGACTGAACCACTCTTAACCAAGCAAGTAGCTTTACCAGCAAAACACAACAAATTGCCTGTGAAAGTAGTCACTGGGATGCTGACACTCAGGCGAGACCAAAACTTTATTAACTGGTGACATACAATAATCTTAAGCACAGCAATAATTACTTGATATCTAATTGGACAGATATCCCTTTTTAATGAATAATTCTGCTCTCATTCCAATGGTATTTTTATCAGTATTCCTTAAGATTAAAACTTGTTAAAAATTGTTCTAGGTTATAAAACAAATCCAGCCACACATTACAGACAATTGTACCACTACACAGGCATTTTCTTTACACTTCTGAGTTTCCATTTTATTTTATTTTAGGAGAAAGAAACAATAACTTTTCACCACAGTAATGAAGAATGAGCAATATCAGAACAAATTGAAGGGCAGTGCCTGGCTGCTAACATATGGGCAAGAATACCTCTAACAAGACAATTTATAACCAGGGGTATTTAAACTCATTTCACAACACTTGTAAAAAAATAAAATTAGTGATAATCTTGTATGTTTATTTGCTAAATTTAAGCCTGGAACAAATTTTGTCCAAGAAATAAAACAGGAGGTGGATGCTCAGGTCATTCAGGTTGCCAGAGCTCCAGCAAAAGCAGAGCTCTGAGAGTTTACATTAGCCAGCAATTTGCTCCATGAAATGTGCAATTAACTCAGGAGGCTTTACATACAGTTCTCATGACTTAAAGGCCTTCAAAAAGATGCCAAACTTGTGAAATTTAGAAAGAGCCCTTATAAACAGTTATATAAATACGGGTAAGACGGAAAAGAGGAAATTGGGGGACAGAGGAATCAAACTGACTGGAAGAGGTATCCAAAAGGATGGGACTATTTTAAAGAAATTATTTAACTACTGAATCACAGCTTTCATTAAGCTGTACAGAATGGCCACCTCCCAAGAGAAGCCATAGAAAGGAAATATCATTAAAAAGATTATGACTTTGTGAGCCCATCCTTACATTCAAGGCAGCAAACTGTTGCACTGTATTGTTGAGCAGGATGTAAAGAGCCTGCCAAGCACAGCCCACAGACCCGCTAATTAAGTGAACTGATTGTGTTTGTTTTGGAACCGTTTGCCAACAAAGGAATGTGTCATGCTGATTAGTGAGAGAAGGGTATGTAATATACGTGCATTCAAACCCTGAGGAGTGCATAACCCAGGTATTCACTCTTGTTTGCTCAAGGACTGACAAAAATTACTCTCAAGCAAATAACTTGACCAAAGAGAAACTCCAGCCCTCAAGAGGGGCCCTCCTTTTCTCTCAGCTGCATCTATCTAAGGAAGACCCATCCTTCAAAAATTCCTATTGATGACTGCTCCAGAAACTGCTGAGAATATTTTGGAGAGAAGCAATCTCTCCACCTCAAAGCTGACCTAAGAGACTATGAAGATGGAAAGGTAACAGCCAGCTGAGAACCCCCTTGGAATTGTAACAGCCTCTCTGACAGCTGTCACTCTTCAAAGAGCAAGAAAGGTCAAGGAGGTAGCCAGAGAAGCAAATGCCAGCTCAACACAGACATACACTCCCACACACACCGAGACTTTGCTTTTCAAACATTCACCAGAAAGGTAAAGTTTGCAAAAGCTGTCATGCACCCACTTTTGAGTATTTCTAACCAAACAGCCCAGTGTGCTGGTAGAATTAGCAGCATGCTGAAAAGTGAACAAGCAACACTGAAAAGCAAGAAGAAAAAACATCGTCTTCAGAGCTCAGCTGCTCTTCCCTCCTTAACTCAGCAGCTGCAGCCAGGGTACTGGGCTGTCTACTATTGAGTACCAAATGTGAATACTATTCTGTAGATAGCAAATCCAGAAAACCAGGATGGAGAAAGGGAATCACAGTCAACTCTCACTGAACATTGCGGACTCAAAATAGTACAACTAAATGACAAGTCTGAGCTAATTGTTTGCTCGGAGCTCTGTATAACACTAAACTAACAAGGAAAGCTGAACACATCATCACAAATTTCAGGTATAATTTCAGGTCTTCACACAAACCTTTTGTGAGTTGCCATTCCATTTGACACAGGTTACTCTATACATCTACCTATTTCTGACTAGCCTCCTCACCTTACACTTGTCATTGTAGTGGTCTGCACACCTACCTCAGAAATCTCTCTTATCTGTAAGATGTGGAAAAAAGCACAAAACCCCTCTATATCTGGCCTTCACCTCACTGCTTTTCGGCTGATGGAGCTGCACAGTAAACAGACAAGCTCCTCTGCTTGCATTACTTGCCTCCAGCCTGAAGGTAGAAAAGAGCAAAAACACAGAACTGAAATAATCTGGTTAGTTTCACAGAGGTGCATGTGCACACACCAGTAGTAATGAGACCAGAAAACTGACTAGGAAAGGAAATGGAAGATGCTGGGGATAAAATCAAGATTTAGTGATAGGGAACACAAAATGAGTAAGCAGGATGACCTCTGACAAAATAAGACAGAAAAATACTGGAGAACGTTTCGTGTTGATTGTGTTCTAATTAAAATCATTAACAAAGACCGCTGTCTTTGGCATGACATCAACCACGACTCCATATTTGTGAAACATGAACAAAAGTCCTTTCTGGCTTCTAATTCACATAAAACCAGGAGCTATAGCAGCTTCTTTTGGCTTTTACTGAATGGCTGACAAACATTAGATTCCAGAAGGTTTTAAACTCTGCAATTGCAAGGTATTGTCTGATCTCAGCTGAAAGGCGGGGGAAAAATGTACACCCAACAATGTTTTTGTGACCAAAAATCCTCCAGACAAATCAAATGCACAGATATTTCAAGTAAACCTGTCTTCCCAAATGTTCTTACATGTTCGCATCAATCTTTTGGGAATATCTTCAATTGCCCCCTATACTGTCTCAATAGACATCTTATGTTTTATGTCATCTTAAGTCTCTCCCTTTTTAACTCGGTGTTTTTAACTGCCATGCACCCTAGATACATTCCTTCTTGAACACTGTTTATAGAGCTCAGCTGCACACCTTGTTTAGCTTATGTCCACTGCTTTGTCAATGCATTTTTTAGAATGAGAGTCTGGGGGGGAAAAAAAGAATGTGCAAACAGTCTTTGAAACTCAGGTCAGGCTGAAAATCCCCAAAGAGTAGTACTTGGTTACTTGTAATTTAACATCATTGTGCACACAGAGGAAACAGATTCTTAATGAAGCCCTTTCAACAGGCTGGTCCTGATTGTTTCCAAAGGTGGCTCCTCAATATTTTTTCCCTTCAATGAAACACTTTGGAGAACAAATTAAAATGACTGTATTTGAAACAGCCAGAAAAGTACTGATCTATGGAGGAATGCTGTGCTGTCAGACAGACTGTCCTTCTGGTGAGTTTAATAAATAAATAAATAAATAAAAATTTCCTTTATTCAAAATACAAGACATTTTTAAAAAAGAGTAGTACCCTGCTGCATTGCCAAGCCTGCTCTGTTTTCCTGCATTTTGCTTCTATGTTTTCCATGCAACTCCTGCCCCTGATCTGGCATCCAGTACTCCATATAATGTGAAATAAAGGCTCTTTTGTTTACCTTATGACTGGCATACACTTACATTTATCTTGTAGCCACCTGAGAATAGCAATGTCATTTATTAAAAATAAAATCTTACATACGTAGGCACAGAGGAGTATGCACACAGAAAGCAGAGAATTAGCCATAACATCATGGGAAAAACACTGCAGAATAGATGGTTATTGTTTTATAATGGATAATCCCAGTACATCATGGGCCCAGTGACATCACTTACCAGAAAGATGTCTGTGATCACTCTAGAGAATCCATTTGGCTTTGTAGGACACTTTGCAAACTCAGAACAGCTTTGGATAACTCACACTGCATCATGCTACTAGGATCATTTCCCTTTTTGAACAGCTTACAAGGTTTTGGGAAGTAGTTCTTTGTATCTATTTCCAAGTCTGATCATGGTGGCCTCCCTGAACCAGTAATCTTGTGTAGCTGCCCAGAAATGTGTATTAGTGGGATCCAGTCCCCAGTTATTTAAATAAGAGGTCATGAGGCTGAGAATCTGCAAGAATATCATACTTGAGTCAAATATATGACTGACATTACAGTACCTGCTTGTAGAAATGTCCTCAAAGGGGTAAAGGATTTCTCCATTGTTGCAAATCTCACAGATGAAACCCTTTTGACTACAAAGGCTGCAGCTGTACACATGAGAGGTGGCAAACTTGATCACCTTCCCCAAGAAAGGAGCCAGCTTTCCTTCAATAACCTGAAATCAGAAGACAATACTGAATGACAGTAACATGCAAGGTTACTAGTCATTTTAAGTACAACAATGTATTCATATACTAAGGCACAAAAAAGTAGATAGAGGAAGATTTAAAGGCTTCCATCTTACCATCTAACTGACAGCTATGGGTACTGCTGTACATTTATGATTTTCAGTTCTTGTTAGTTTTTATGCACAGATCACAGCTTTGTCTTTGTTTCTTTCCCTCCAAACCACAAGTTTTTCACTATTTTTTTGTGAACAGACTGCTGGGTTTCCTCCTCTAATAAGGTTGTGTTTCCCACTGAAAACCATTAAAATACAATATTCCTGTCATTGCCAAAATGAATAAATTCTCAGATAAAGTCTTGAATAGGAACTGTTTTCTTCTCCTTCAGTGTCCAGCTCTCAAATCGAGAAGCCTCTCACTGCCAGACAATCCTGCCAAGACCATTAGAAGTGATTAGCACTCCCAGTGCTGCTGTGAAAAAACAGCTATGCAGTATAGATTAAACTGCCAGCCACAACACTCATCGAAATTTGTGACTTGGTGACAATGCCTCAATAAGGGGTGCTATTCAGGCAAAATACTTCCCATTCACATCAAACTTCCAGAGACTTTAAAGAATTCTGCTGGTGTAGGTAATAATGAAGATGGAATAAGGCCCTAAGTGTATATTCTTCTCTCCTAAGCTTCCTGTGGTCTGAATAGCTGCCCACGAGACTAGTGACAGAAATGTGTTACGGGATTTGATAGTGACCTCCTATAAAAGGGAAAAAGAATGCAATAATTGCTGATTGAAGACTTACACAGGGCTGTGCCCTAAAGCCTTAGAATGGGGAGATATACACTTAAACATGTGTCAGATTCAGTTAATGCACCCCTCCCCTAAACTTGGTAATGCACCACTTGTAATTTGGGTTTAGTGTAAACAAACCTAGTGAAAGCAAAGGTCAAGGCAGAGAACAACAACAAAGATTTTGGAAGGACTCCTTCCCTGCATAACATAGAACAGAATTAAATCTGTGTTCCAGGGTAGCCACTACTAAAGAGGACTCATGGAAAAAGAGGTAGCACTGATGTTGATGGCATCAAACGGCATGGGCTGAAATGTGCCCCCTCTTTGCTTTCAGCTCTAGCCTGCTAACAACATCTGCAACAACAGGAAGTGGCAATGTTATTGCTAGTACTGCAGATAGGACATCTGCTCCTGTTAGAGGAAAAATGACGTTCCTATTGCATCCTGGTATAGGAAGATCCCCTTCAACCAGAATATAAACAATGCAGAGAAGCTGCTGCATGAAATATGAAGTCATAGTTCAAGGTAGTGGTATCACTAACCTTCTGACGGATAGTCAGAAGTTAGTTTAGCTCCCCTCGGCTGGGTTTTCTCATTCATTTTAAAGAAATTTTCTGCTTGCAGACTCCAGTGTTACAGAGGGTCTGAAAGCCAAACAAGTTGGGAGAAGGGGAAGGACACAGAAACTGGTAGTATTCAATAACAGGAGGAAAGAAACAGTGAAGCCACCCAGGTAGTGACAGGGTGACAGTCACCTTCCAAAAAGCCGTTTAGCACTAACAGATGAAGTATGCATACAAAGCTAATAAAAGCATATTCCCCAAAGCATTTTCATGCTACAGCAACCAGCTCTGACAGGCCACAAGAACTCAGCTTAAAATGCCAGGCTGAAGACAGAGCTGCAAACAAACTCTGAGTCTGTACTAACAACACTTTCAGCAAGGCCTTTGGTTAAACTCTGAATTAAAATAATGGTTTATATAACATAATAAAATTAACATAATATATTACCTTCCTAAGCACCACGGGTGAATTTAAATCTGTACAAGGTTTCCTATGCTGAAGAGCTCACAACCTAAGCAAGACAGATTGAGACTGGGCAGCTGCCCCTGAGGAGCTGGTGTTATTTGTCCCTATTGATTTATTTATTTGTATGGCTTGTTGTAGCACTGTAGAGGGTTGGTTTGCAACTCTGTCCACTGCAGACATACAATGAAGATGATATCTTCAAAGAGACATGCATGCCAATTTTGCAATGTGAATTACAGGCCATTTTACTGTATTATAGGAGGAACACAAAATGCAACATCAAACTGGTGTTATCACTATTTTTAGCATCTGTAAATTCTGTGTCATTTTGTTTCATCAGAGACCTCAAGGCTGTGCACAGGATGTGACTTTTCCATGCAGACTTCTCTCATTTGTGTTTGTAGCTTATAATAATAAAATCCTCAAATCCATTTACCCTGGCAAACAAAAAGGAAGATTTCTACTTGCTGTCCCCAAGAGGAGTTTCATGGTAACTCTTCCACAGTGAGTGTTTTACAGCTTAGGAGAAGGAGCACAGGACATGTAATCAAAGGCGGCAAAACCTCTCCTGTGACTAAGCACTCTCTTGTGACAGCCAGAGGCTCAGGGTTGGTCAGTTTAGACATCCCAAAACCACAATGTCAGAGGCCCAGGACGTTCTCCCAGTTGATGCTGGAATGCAATTTTGAGTTTTAAGGAAACTCAAATGATTAAAGAAGTGTGTTAAATGAATGCGATGCATTATCCAGATATCAGGGAAATCACTGGGGGCAGGGTGTGGGGTGTGCATGTGAAATACCTCAAGGGGACATCTTGGCAGAGCCAGTAATAGCTATGTCATTCTTTACTGCTCTGTTACCAAAGCCTTTCAGTGACAGAGACTCCACAGCCCACATGCTGTCTAACCCAGCACACGATGTTCACACTGTTGGAGTCACCCCTAAGCTTTGACCCGCACCTTTCCTAAGGACATTTCAGTTTACAAAATCAGCTTACAAAACAGAGAAACTGTGAAATCACACGCTACAAGCTGCAGAACAGTCCATCACATTTCATACGAGATGTGAAAACTTAGCAGAAAACGTAACTTAAGAATGTGCCAAAGGAACAGAAACCAAAAATGTCAGCACTGACTTCTCCCTGTAACATAATACAGCCTCAATACCTGCAAAGGCTTAAAAATACACTCCTGCCTAAAAAAAACCCAAAACCCAAAACCCGAAAAACAAGCATTAGGCTTAAAACAAACTAAAATTTTGCTGACTTCAGATTCTTTTCTACCTACAGCTCACATGAAGAGCGAGGTCTGTTTTCTAACCCAAATTCTTTGTAGTGAAAGCAATTGTTTCATTGACCAAAATTAAGGATGAAAAGTGGTTGGTCCTGGTCATCAACTGATGGAGGGTGGAATGCAACCTCTTCTTCCTAAATTGGTCAAGGAACCTGCCCCTAAAGGATTCTGGACATGGGGCCATGTTTTTACAATGAGGTTATCACTGCTATACCTGAAATATATTGGGATATGCTGCTTGGTGACAAAAGGAGGAAAACAGTTGTGTTCAGAGGCTGAAAGCAAGTTGTGTCTCCAAATGGCTTCAGTGTTCAGATCAGAATCACTGTTCACCTCTGTGGATCTGGAAAAACTCTTCTCTAAGCCACCACAGCAGAGGAAGCCATGGCTTTGCATACTGCAGCTCCTAACTGCATGTCTTACATTAGGAATTGTATAAAAATACACACCAACATGTACACACATAAAAGACAGGGCCTGCCCTCAAAGCACTTCTAATTTAAACCAACAAAACAAATACTACTTTTTACACTAACTGCCACATATCTCTCACCCTAAGTGGGACAAACTGTGTTTTGGAAGAGCATCCCATACAGGCTCCCTGCCCACACTGCAGAGAGCATCCCTCTGGCCAGAGCATGGCTGCAGGGGCAAGGGCTGCTGGGGAGGTGAGAAAAGCTGCCAGGAAAGCCAGCAGGAGCAACAACCTGCCCTGCTGCCCAGCCTCCTGCACCCAGATTATGAAAGCTGAGGTGTATTGGCAAGTAAGAGGGGAGGGCAGACACTTGTCTGCAGCAGTGGAAGAAAACTAAAGGGGAACACAATATCTGAACACATGCCAAAGGGGAGTTAAGAAAATTATTTTAGATGATTTCTGGAACGGAAGCTTTTCATACAAGTCAAAGTTATGAATAAAGGTAAATCTTTTTCTCTGTGTATCTTTGTGCTACCATTCAGTTGGGTAGCAGTATAAATCCAAAGAAACAGTTAGGTTCTGTGTAAGGTTGGGAAGAAATATGGGGACTCCCAAATTTTAGCATTCAAGCCAATGTTGGCTATGGCGCCGAGAGCATTGGGTGGTGGGAAGACACGATGCACATGCACTGGGTTATGTTTTTCCTGATTCAACAGGAAGACAGAGAAGATGAAAGGCAGCAGGGGCTATGGAACAAGTTGAAATCCCTTTGGATACATCACACTAATATGATCATGAGGGCAACGTGTGATCAGTCAAAGTTTAACTACTTGTCAGGAAGGCGGCTGGCCCCCAGAGGTTTCCTGATCCTTTTATCCAAAGACTGCAAACTACCCATAGTACCCTCTTCTACCAAGGTGATGTTTCAGAAGCAAGTGGGCAGCCATTTGTCTCCAGAGAATAAGAACTGGGAAGGCTACCGATCACACAGCATCCTCCACGAGCAGAGAAATCCTTCTCAGTGGCCTACTATGCACATAACAGGGCTATTGCTCACAGAGAACTTCAAGAAGTAGCTGTACTGCCCAGGGCACTCACTGGTATCCCTGTGCCCTACCTTCACTACACATTTCTGAGCCCATGACACTGCCCTGCACGGGAGGAGAAACAGTCCCCTCACCTCTGACATATGCTAAGCTACAGCTCTGTCCTGACCCCAACTCCTTAACTGAGCTCTATGGACCAAGCACAATGCTCATACAAGTCCAATTCTGAAGGCCCCCACTCTCCAGCCTTCACCCCTAAATCTCCTCCTCCCATGCAGCACAGTACAGGGGGTCCAAAACCCCAGCCCAGAGCAGAGAGCAATCAAGCTACTTTGTCTTCCTTTTCCAGTCAACAGACTCCTTGTATGAGAACATACTTACCAGCATGAAGGAGTGTTGCACAAACTAGTCCCACAGGA